GTTCCTCTAAGCTTCTGGTTCTCTCTTTTGATTTTATATTGGAATGGCCAGATTGCTTTTGTCTTCAGGAGTTCCCACAGAGGCCCAAGTCAGATGAGGATCAGATGCTGTCAGCCTTTCTCCTAAGGTCTGGATCCCTCCAGGAGATTTTGGCCTCAGTAATTTGGAGGTTGGACTGACCTGGTAACTGGGCCCAGGAAAGATGCTGCTCTAGCGCAGCTGATGGCTGTGCCACCCAGCGATGCAAAGAAGATGGGGGTGGGAAGTGACCCCAAGGGCTCTTCGGGACTGCACTGAGGAGCTGGGTTGGTCTGGATCAGGAAGAGGAAAGGTCAGCCCTGGCGTCCAGGAAAGAGGCTGGTGGGTTGTGCAGACCCAGGGAAGTAGAGGGAGGTGAGGGAGGGGCCAGGCCCAGAAGCAGTGCTCCTGGGGACCCGAGAAGGCCCTGAGTTGGTCTGGATGCAAAGGATCAGGAAGCAGTTGTGGTTCCCCAGGTGTCTAGGGCGCCAAGACAAGGAATGGGACAGGACCCAGGGTAAGAGGAGAGACCCGCGGGGGAGATGGGAGGGTGAATGAGGCGTGGAGGGCGTGATGGACTTACCCCGGAGAGAGAGGCCTGAGGGTTGTGCAGGCCCAGGGAAGCAGAGGGAGGTGAGGGCCGGGCCAGGCCCAGAAGCAGTGCTCCTGGGGACCCGAGAAGGAACTCAAGCCTCTCTTTTTTAAAAAAATATTTTATTTTTCCGGACGTGGTGGCACACGCCTTTAATCCCCGCACTCAGGAGGCAGAGGCAGGCGGATCTCTGTGAATTCAAGGCCAGCCTGGTCTACATAGTGAGTTCCAGGACAGCTGGAGCTACAGGGAGACCCTGTCTCAAAAAGACCAAAAAAAAAAAAAAAACTTTTTTATCTTACTATTTTTATTTTATGTATATGAGTGTATTGCCTACGTGCAGGTAGGTGTACCCATGTTGTGCAATGCCCACAGAGGTCAGAAGAGGACGGGGTGGATCCCCTGGAACTGGATTTACAGAAGGTTGTTAACTGCCATGTGGGTGCTGAATCAAACTTGCAACCTCTGCAAGAGCAGCCAGTGTTCCTAACCACTAAGCCAGCTCTCCAGTCTGCCTCTCTCTTCTTTAGAGGTTAAATAAAGGCAGGAGCCTTGAGTGTTTCCAAACACAAAAGAATGTTCAATGGTTTCAATGACACACAGGGAGGAACTTCCTGAAACACAAGGTAGCTAAATAAAAGAAAATTTTTAATAATGAAGGGTATGGATTTCTCACAAGATTAACCTTTCTGAGATGTTTGAGTTAAAACTGACTCCAATGGAGATCTATCGAAAACATGTACTAAACTAGCTGTCAGAAGGAAATAGAATGCAGTGCAATAGAAATATGCAATGAATTTGAAAGAAAAGATGGCTGGAAATGCAAAGGGAAAAGACCTGCAAGCTTGGACCCAGCCCCTAGAGCTCTAAACAGGAGCCATTAAAGCAACTTCACCCCAGTGGTGGGGCCTTTAAATCCCAACAGTCTTCACCAGCTAAGTGTTACTCATAAAGTCAAACCAATATTTTTTAATTGAATGTTAAAATAGTATTTGCAAAGTGCCTCTCTACTCTTTTTTATATTTATGACTTAGTGATGATCACTTTTTACTTGCTTTCTATCTACATCAACACCCTATCCCAAATCACAGGAGCATCTGTAACACAGGCATCCAGACCCTTCCAGATGTTTCGAAGATCTCCTCCTCTGAATTTAATTTCATTCTGTAAGTATCAGGCTGATTGCTATGCATAACAGTTTCCTATTTGCAGCTAAAATTTAGAAAGTAAATATTTCTTATTTCTTTCCTCAAGGGAAATTTGTGATAACTTGTACATAACCACCATACCAAGGAATGCTTTTCAAGGAATGAATAATGAATCCATCACACTGTGAGTATACCCCCTGGGTTCTCATTCTGCCACACAGTCACCCAATAGTCTCCCTTCTAGCTTGAGGTAGGCTTGCTTGCTCCCATGTTTCACCACATTCTTTATACCCTGGCTACAAGTTTCCTCTTAAGTTAAACTTCCAAGATTTGGAGGAGTTGTGAAGGATAGTCTGTGGGTCATACACTCCCACAACAACTGAACAGACAATTCGGTTTAGCATTAATCAAATGGGCCCTGTAGATTTTCAGTATGGAATTTCCAACTGATGAAGTTATTCTTTATATCAGTGCAATTCTTTAAGCCCAGGCCTTTATTCAAAGATCAAAATATAAACTCTCAGCAATTTTGACCTAAACTTAGGCATAGTTCCTCACAGGCAGTGGGAGAGGGAGTGAAGCTGCATTGAAAAGGGTAGAGACCTGGGGGATGTGTTGGGACAGTCCACGGGGAACTGAGTTCCTAACACAGAACCACCCCTCCAAACTCAAGAAGACACTAAAGAGCCTTTTCCATATGGCACAGCTCGGCATGCATGCAAAAGGGCTACATGATATTCTTTTCGTAGGGCCATTAACTTATGTTGATTATGATTTTAAGAGGAACAGTGCAGGATAGTAGGGTGTAATTGCCCCACCTCTGAAGTTAATGAGGACTGTGGAGCCATCTCTCCCAGAAAGCCTGTGGGCCGCTGTGCTTCCACCCTCTCCCCACTCTTGGCCCTTCATCTCGAAGGGGTGTGATTAGTCATTTGCTGTGCACTTGTTCTCAGCTGAATGGGCTCTTCTGTAAGTGAAGGATCACGTGGAGCACCCTGCTGGATAAAGGGCATTACACTTGTAGAGGAAAGCCTTATTTTCCCAGCTATAAAGTCCAACTCCTTAATTAGAAAATAATGAAAGCAAGTCTTCTCTCTTCATTATTAGCAGGATTTGCGATTTTACTGCTAGTAGAACCTGTCCGGCCCTCCCCCACCCAAATCTTTACCAACTGTGAGCTCATTTAATGAAAACAAAACACTTCACTTGGTGCAGGAAAAGCTCAGTGGGGCTAAGGCTAAAAATATGCATTATGCTCTTATGCCCCTTTATAGACACTGTGGCTTTTCATTAAGTCTCCTCAAGAGGTCACCTTGACAAATCCCCCTGAGGGAGCAGCACATAGCTATGCGTACCACCTTTCAAATATTGTAAAATACTCTGGATGACTGGGGCAGCCAGTCTCACAAAGCAAACAACCTTGACTCACACTTGAACTCCACAAACATGGGGAAAGGTCATGGCAATTACTTTCTGAAGACCTTTCAGAGAAGCATGTCTGGCAGAGCATGACAAGATTCATGGCTGCACCATGACGTGCTACACTGGAAAGATGGGCATTCAAACAAGAGCTTTGATGTCACTCTTGTTTCTAAGTCTAGCCATCCAAGTAGCCTCAGTCAAGTTGAACCTTGAAAGCCAGCCCCATCTCTGTTCAGTGGGTTTACTAATGTCTCCTTCCACTAATACTAATACTAATACTGTGTCAACTACATGGTCACAATTGACACAACCAACAACCCAGAGCCAGTCAGTTGTTATAGCCCATCCTCAGAAGCATATAGCTCATCACCTTCTAAATGTCATTGTTATTATTATCACTACTATTTTAAAATGGTGTATTAGTCTGCTTTTCTGTGATAAAACATTCTGACCAAAAGCAATTGGGGGAAAGAAAGTTTATTTCATCTTACCTATTGAGGTTACAATCTATTATTGAGGGAAGTCAGAGCAGGAACTCAAGACAGGAACTTGAAGCAGAAACCATGGAGGAATACTGCTTGCTGGCTTGCTTCTGGCTCATTCCCAGGCCAATCGATGTTCCACTAGCATTCTTTTACAGCCCAGGCCTATCTGCCTAGGGATGGTGCTACCCATAGTGGGATGAGCCCTCCCACATCAATCATCAATCAAGATAATGCCCCATAGATATGCCCAGAGATAAGTCTGATCTAGAGAATTCCTTAGTTGAGGTTCCCTCTTTCCAGGTGATTCTAGGTCATGTCAAGCTGAAGCTGGCACATCACCTGAAGCTAACTAGGACAAATGTTTAACTGAAAAACAGTTTTACACTCACAAAAAGAATGACAAGTATGAGGAACATATCTATCCTTAACCAGGCTCATCAACCGCTTTACAGCTTGCCACACTCATTCCATCCCCACATGGGAGAATGCACATTTCCCTTTCACCAAACCATCCAAGCTAATGAGCATCCTGACATCTCATCCCTAAACACTTCAGTATTCATCTCCCCAAAGGGGGATGATCTACATCATCACAGGAACTAAATAACATCATCTATCCAACAGTTGATTCTTAAATTAAAATGTTTTATAGATTCTCAAAGCTCACAATCCAGTTTATACACCAGGTTTTTGCTATGACATCACTTAGTTCTGTAAGCCTCACTTTCCACACTTCCCTAACTCCCTGAGCTGCGACTGTGCAGTCTTCTGTTCTGGAAGGCGCTGGATCCTCAGAGGAGCTCAGACTAGTTGCCTGAGTTTATCTGACCACATTCCTGTGACTAAGCTAGAGCCAAATACTTCTACAGGAGCATTGCAAAGGCCATGTTGTGTCTCTCTCACCACATCAAACCAGGAAGTACATGCGCCATGCTGTCTCACCACTTGACCATTTGCTTGAGATGTGGTCTGCCATAGCTGTTTTCTATGAGGACACATTTTTCCTTCTGTCCTTTCTAAGTAAACCATGGTATGCTACTTTGAGTTGTTGTGATGTACATTTGGCCAACGAGCTTTCAACATCTGTTGTTTATTTAGAATTACAAAGAGAGTTAAAAAAAAACAGTCATTTGTAGATTCCATCATTCTTCCATATTTATTATCCAGCATTTCTTTTTTTAAGGGGCTTTCTTTGTCTCTTTCTCTCTCTCTCTCTCTCTCTCTCTCTCTCTCTCTCTCTCTCTCCCCTCTCTCTGTCTACTTTTTTTAAAAGTATTACTTAGAATATGGATTTCTTGAAAATTGTATTCTCCACATTAGAATCCATTACTGTCATCTTTCTTTCTGAAGTTTGACATCGTCTTCATTATTGCATATGGTAAAGTCATCTAAGTTGACATGCACTTGGCTGAGGTAGAGGGGAACATGAAAACAACTCAGCACTGCTGAAAGGCAGGAGGCTCAGCCAGCTCAGAGACTGTGAGACCCACAGAAATGATGTACATTCAAACCAGGTTCATGGCAGCACACAGTGGTGACTAAACAGCAGTTATCCACACAACCACTACCAATGCATCTACTGGAGAATGGGCTTTGTACATGATGGGTTTATCCAGATAAAAGAACTTCAGCTATTTAGGAGACAAAAGATGAGTGTAGAATCCTCTTCTTTAGGATGCTCTTTCTACAGTCATTTAGGAAGGAGAGAAGGGAGGGAGGGAGGGAGGGAGGGGAGGAGGAGGGAGGGAGGAAGGAGGGGGAAAGAAGGAGGAAGGAAGGAAGGAAGGAAGGAAGGAAGGAAAGAAGGAAGGAGAGAGGAAAGAAGGAAGGAAAGGAGGGAGGGAAGGAGGGAGGAAAGGAAAGGAAAGAAAAGAAAAGAAAAAAAAAACCTTGCTTACAGAAATGTTACCAGCAGGCATAATTCCAAATTGTTATGCATTGCCTTTCCACAATAGGGCTACTTTTTGAGACCCCGAGGGTTTGCAAATATAAATTAATCTCTCTTCTTTGAAATCATCCCCAAACTAGGTGGCCACATGATCCAAGAGAATGTCTGACACTGTTAATATAACCCCAGAAGTGCTTTGTGGAGCCCAGGGGTTGTTTAAAGTTCATGATAAGACAGCGTTCAGAAGTACAGCATCATAATCTGTGATTAATTTCTAAAGCCTGAATCTTTCTTGAAATAAAAAGATGCCATTCTCTCTGCTTGATTCGCAATGACTGGCATTTGAATAGAGAATCTAGACAATGCCTGCAAGTGTGGGGCGGCCAATGTGAGAGAGGAGCCGGGGACCTTCGCTCTCCCCCTTTCATTCTGACATCCTGAGGTTTGGGGACAAGAGCATCTGAAGCGGGGACCTGACAGCACAGCACGAGGTCACCCACTCCCATTTGTGATTTCTCCAAACCAAGGAAGCCACTTTTTTAATGAAAACAAGGTGGTGCCTTCCATTGTTGCTACTAGTAAGAACAGAGAGAAATTGCTGTTGAAGGGAAGCAGTGAGCCACAGTCTTCAGAAAATTCAGACAAGCGAGCCCCAGACTGTTCAAAACTAAAAAACTAGATATGAACACACCCAGGACAGTAGCCCAGACCAAAGGGGGCTGAAGGCCCACAGAGTGAGGACACTGGGGTGGCCCAGGCCACTGATCTGGCCTGCTTTGCAGGAGCAGAAAGGCCCCACTCAAATGTGGAGTCCTAAAGCTCATTGAAATCCTGTCCAGAGAATGGAAAGGGAGATATTAGAGGACTGGAGACCACTGCAAAGTACAGTTATAACAGAACCAACATATTAAGCATCGACTGTGTTCCAGAACTTTTTAAGTGCTCAGAACAGCTTTTTTTTTTCGTAGCAGCTTTTTTAAGGCTGATAATGTTATTATCTCTGTTCTCAGATGAGAAAATTGAGGCATCAGGAGGTTAAGTAACTTGCCTGAAGTAATTCAGCTTGTAAGTAGTGGATTGGGTTCAAGTCTAGGGAGTTGAGTTCAGTGTCTTCAGACTGAACCCCAAGACCACACACAGAGCAGCAGCTTCATGAGCCCAACAAACAGTGACACACGAAAACATGAAAATGAGGAGAAGGGCAGCACGCTGCAGCAAAGTGGATGCGGGGGTGGCAGGGCTCCAGACAACCACCAACAGCTTTGCTTTGCTAGAGGCCCAGGAAGAGTTGCCTTTGATTGACCCACCAGAGATGTGCCTCTGTCTTTGAAGGTAGAGGAAGCAATGGAGGGACTAGACCATGGACTCCATTCTGAGCAAGAGACCATGTGATGGCACCATGGACAAGACAAGACTATGATATATTTTAAGGCAAGGCTTCCCACACCGGCCTGCCTGGAACCTTGAGCAGAGCTTTGGATAAGTGTAGGTACCCAGATCCCACTGCTTGCGTTAGTGCAGTAGTCTGGGCTGCACCTGGCACAAGGCAGGACTGAGTCTGCATTTCTGACAAACAAGCTCAGGCGATTCTGTTTTGGTGGATGGTGGAGCATGCTTTGACAAATACTGGCCTAGGCTCCAAAAACTCAAATTTTAGAGACCTCCAGAGGAACTAGAGGTATTATTCATTGAAAAGAAGTTGCTTGATATGGTGGTGCACACCTTTAAATCGCAGCTCTAGGGAGGCAGAGGCAGGCTGATCTCTGTGAGATCAAGGCCAGCCTGGTCTACATAGAGAGTTCCACACAAGCCAAAGGGAGACCCTGTCCCAATAAATAAATAAATAAATAAATAGTTTGCTATAAAAGACTTCAACAACCCCCAGTCCCCCAAATGACAAGAGATTGACAAAGAACAATATTCTAAGTATTTAAAAGCTCCTGTGGGATTCAGCTGCCAAGAAGGCAGGACAGCTGTATGTAATTACCCAAAAGGACAGGTCTAAACCAAGGACCTATCTTCGCATAGTCTATACTAACTAGGATGGGGCAAAAATCGGAAATAGCTTAACTGTAACTGTACAGGTCATAGTTAAGAGCAATGCTGTGCAAGCATAGGTGGAAAAGAATCCCAGAAGAGCACAGGACAGCAGGCAAGCCGAGGATGGCGCTCCCTCCCTACTTCAGAGGCCGAGGCTAATGGCTCCGGTCAGGTATCAGGCAGTGTGTAAGGCCCCAGGTTTGTGCAGGGTTTGAACTACTATGTGTTTATGGTGCATGTTTATGAGTACAGTATGATAGTTCAGTAATGTATACAATATATACTGACCAAACCAGAGCACCATGTCTTCATTGTTTCTCTGTTTTAGGACTTTTAGAACTTTCTCCTAGTTCTTCATAAGCTATGTAGTGGGGGTTAATATAAATATATTCCTTGCTCTCTAATGCAATCTAATGAGGTGGCTCAGGGAATTGTTTTATGAGCTCTAATTTAGAATTTCTGAATTTCATAGTTGAAATATCATACTTCAGCATGGGCACTCCCTCTGTTTAGTTGTTGGTTTGTCACAGGTATGCTGTGGTTGATGAAAAGAAGCATCACATCTATACACGCCACATATACACATATGCATCATACTCACACACAGAACTATATACATGTACATACAACAGGAGATATAAATTCATGTCTGCTAGAAGGCTAAAGACAACTCAAGGAACATCAGCCGCCTTGTGAGGAGCAGATGGAGCAGAGCAAGTGTCCAAACCATTTTTCAAGTTACCCACTCATGTGTCTGCCAGGGCTGGAAAGGAAGCCACATTCTTGCAGACAGGGCACGCAATCACATTACACCACAGCCCCTTCTCACTCAGGTCTTAAATCATAGCTCATGAAGAATTTACACAGATACTGACATGTAAGATGGCGGCGCTCAAACTTGTTTGGCTATGACGTATAGCAAGACATCTCATATAGACCCATTTGTTCATTAAAATATATTCATTCCAGTTCATTTAAGACATATTTATTGTAATGCTCCGAGGCCCAAATGCTGTTCTAGTGTGGGAGAACTTGCAACGAATGCAATAGTTTAAATCCCTTGTTCTCACAACAGTGCTGCTCTGCTGGGGGAGTAGACAAGGAATAAGTAAAATACTGCGTGTTAAATGGTGATGAAGCTAGAGCATAAAAACAAACCAAGGAAGGCAGACAGGAAACATTGGGGGTGTGGATGGCGTTTTAAATAGGAGGGCCACAGTGAGGCCATGGCGTTGAACCCAGTGCAGTAGGAGGAGGACAAGTACACCTTGGGACAGTGGGTTGGAAGAAGAAAACAATCAGCAAAACTGATGCCCTGAAAGTGGCTGCAAAGTGTGCTCCAGCATCATCTTTGTTGAATGAGGAATTTTGGACAAGTCACTTGCGTGCACTGATCTCATTTCCTTTGTAAACTAGAGGGGTCCTGCTTAAGTTTCTTTAGACTCTTTTGGTGCTCTGGCACTTCCCAGCTTGCCTAGAGGCTAAAGAGTCTCTTACGTCTCAGTCTGAGTAGAAGTGTGTGTGTGTGTGTGTGTGTGTGTGTGAACACAAGGTATTATATAAATGCCATATAAAATGGTGGAACAAGATGTGATATACGTTCATGCCACAACTGCTTGCAATACACTCCAATACTTCCCATTTGTTCTACTGTTTCTTTTTTTTTTTTTTTTTTTTTTTTTTTTTTTTTGAAATATGGTGGGTCATGCCTTAATCCCAGCACTCTGGAGGCTGAGGCACATAGTTTGAGGCCAGCCTGGTCTACACAGTGAGTTCCAGGTCTGCCAGGGAAACAGTGAGATCCTTTCTCAAAAAAATGTAAAGAACTACATATGATGGGCTAGAACTCACAGAGATCCTCCTGCCTCTGCCTCCCGAGTGCGGGGATTAAAGGCGTGTGCCACCATGCCCGGCCTGTTTCAATTTTTAAAATGCTGGTTACACTCAGCTAAATTGATTTCACAGTCTGCTAATGGGTCCTAAAGAACTGCTTGCAGACATTTAGATCTTCTTGGCTGTGCAGCCAACTTTGGCATCAGCAAAACCACAATGCTCATGAAGAATTAAAGAGCAAGTGACTCAGCGCTCAAGCCCTGCTCGGGTCTGAACTCTCGGCAGCCCACAAAGCCCACTGTTCCAAGAGGGCCTCAGAGCCAGCCTGACAGCTCAGCCTTAAATGCCAGCTCTGCTCCTCCTCACTCTCAAAACCCATAATCCCAATAACACCAATGTTTGCTTCTCTTATCATTAAAATGCAAACAACGATGGTAACTAAATCACACTGACTGGTCAAGTACCTATCACCTAATAAACACTTGGTGGTGGTAACGGGGCGGGGGTGGGGGGTTGTTTAGAAGAAAATCAGGGCAGGAAGAACAGCTTCACCCCACAGGCTCCCAGAGTCCAAAATGTTGGAGAAACAGCTCGCTATTTTGAATGCCAGTGGTTATCTTAGTAATAAATGTCACAGAAGGGGAAATGTGTGCTTCCAGACTGTGCTTCTGTCAGCTCCTTCGCGTTCCTAAACCCGCTCTCCTCCCTCCTCCAGCAAACTGTATGGAAACGGATTTGAAGAAGTACAAAGTCACGCGTTCAATGGGACGACGCTAATTTCGCTGTAAGTATGTGCTTATTTCCCTCGCTCATGAATAAAAATGATTACTCTAGCTAACAGATCACATTCAATCTTCAGCAACTAACTCAGGGCAAAAATAAACTTTCAAGTGGCTAGTCCTTGGTGTTGCACGCATGTTACTAGGCAACCAGCTGGCTGGAAACCCCAGAGCACCCTGATTTCAAAGATAGATGCAGCCTCCATGCATTGAAGTTGACAGTTTGCTGAAATATTCAACACCCTACTTTGTGCCTCCTTCATCTCACAGCTCCCCTCTCCAGCCCCCTCGTGCAGGTTGATGGTGTTTTAGAGGCAACATATTTCAGAAAGAAATTCTTCCCTAGGCGCCACTGCAGGGAAATCAGGTGACACCATTTACCAGCCTAATCAGCCATTGCAGCCCCGCTCCGGCAAACAGAAAGAAACTGCTTTCCACAGGTGAGGGAGCTCTGCTTTCCCCCCGCATCCAGGTCCAGCCCCCAGAGTAATGCCTTTAGCTCAGAGGAGCCATCCAAGGATGCTTCCTTTCACTGTTCTCGGTCTTTCCTCTCCATGGTCCCTCTTGCAGGTTCATGGGATACATGGACCATCACAGTATAGGGTGAGGTGTTGGATTCCCCTGTGTAGTCAGGAATAGCAAAACTGAAAAGCACCTGAAAACCTTAACTGAAGGCAAAATTAGGGGGAAGGCGTTTAAAATAAGTTGGGGTCAGTGACATGACTCAGTGGGTAAGTGCACTTGTCACCAAGCCTGAGGACCTGAGTTTGATCCCTGAAACCCACATGGAGAGAATCAACCTTTGCCCTCTATACACGTGCCTTGGCATGTACACTTTCTCATACACACATGCATACATACACACATTAATTTTTAAATAAATATGCTGTATGAAGCATGATCCACACCAATGCTTGTCAGTCTTTAATATGCATAAAAAATAACCTGTGGATTGTTAAAATAGATTCCTGAGCCTCACCCCCACCAGCTTTGCCTTGATGGGTTTGGGAAGGGTTGAGAAGAGAATTTACACTTTAACAAGTTCCCAGAAGATGCCCATGTGGCTGGCCTGACCTGAAGTTAAGTAGCACACATCTATATGGTATATTAATAATTTTTTAACTACAGATCTTAAACCAAGAACCCTATTATATTAATATCACACTCTAGAGCAACTAAGAGGACAGGCCTAAGGGTCACTGCCTGGGACTCCAACTCCAACTCCACTATCAGTTTATGTATGACCTTGAACATTTGCTTAACCTGTCTAAGCCACAGGGTCCTCATTTGTAAAGCAAAGCTTCAGATAGACTTGTTTTGAGGAACAAAATCAAAAGGGCTGTTTTGTATCCTCAGTACTTAATATGGTACGTGCTAATTAATTGACTTTATTGTATTCAGGAGTCATTGTGTTTGGTCAGTACCGAGTCTGGCTCATACCAAACACTCAAGAAATGGTTTTAAAAGTGTTGTCCTCCCTGTCTAATGGGGAGAGCATGTACATTGTCTTATTGATGTGACAGTTTCATGAAGAGTTCATTAACAAGAACCCTTGAGTTAATGAAGGGTTCACTCTAGCCAGTTGTATCTGTGTCTGTCAAGATTAAGTCAGATGCATTCACAGCCTCCCCAGCCCATTCTCAGATGCCTCATCCCATTATTCACTCAACAAGTGTTTACAGTACGAAATGAAGGTGTTAGGTAAGCCCTGGGATTTACCCACAGGAATTTACAGCATAGCAAGAGGCAACGCCACGTAGTGAGTGGACTGCAAACTAAGGAGGAACTCAAACAGAAGGCAAAGCATGGTGCCTGCCACGAGGGAGGGAGGAGCCCTCCAGGATCTCAGAGGCAGGAGGAAGGGAGTTACAGAATGCTGGGAGAAGGAGGTGGACTTTGAGCCAAGCTACTGTGGACTGACAAAGGTAGGAGGAATATGCATTCCAAGGAGCATGGGATGTGTTCATGCACCGCAAACAGTGCTTTTCAGTACTTTCTAGGTGTGAGAGTCAAAGCAAGAAGGGCCTTGGACACCACAGTAGAGAACTTGGACTCTTTTGTAGGACTTGAGATACTGTTCTGGGCCAGAAGGCGTGAGGCAGACTGAGTTTAATAGGGGAGAAACAAGATAAAGGGGAGAAGCCAGAGGCATCAACAGGTGAGAGGAAAACCAGGCAAGCTCATCTTTATGACACAGCGAGGAAAGACAGAGAAGAGGGAGGCCTTAGAGGACAGCAGGGTCCCTGCTGTTGCAAGGTGCCGGGAGGGGCACAGTCAAATCGGTCAAAATTCTGTATCCCCTGTACCTCCCCGTAGCCAGAAGAGGCCAAGAACACAGGTGTTTGCCAAGCACACAAGCCAATTTCCATTACGTATCCATTCCACATCATTTATTAAATGCCACCAAAATGTTAGGCACTGTGTTAGGTGCTGAGTCTCAATTATAGAATGAACTCTTGCCCTCACTCTCAGGGGTTTGGGGAGGATGTTTTTCTAGCAGAAGAGACTCACAAAAACACAACTAAATGCATAAATAAAATTATTCAAAGTCATGATATACAGTAAAGGAAATAAGTCATTAATGAGGTCGAGATTATGGGGACAGGGGGTGAGCAGCTCACACAAGATGCTCAAGGTAACTTCACTGAGGCCCTGATGTTTAGGTTGAGCATAAAGACAATATATCCATGGAGGCAGTGGTGGAAGAGAAGCCCATTGCTGAAAGCAGAAGGAGGATGTGCAAAGGTCCTGAAGGGGTGAAAAATAGAAAGTTTTAGAAGTCAAGAGGGGGTTCTGTGATCAAAGGTTTTCAACAAGGGTAGACTGGCATTCGATAAGGCTGAAGATGTGGCAAAAGCAAGTCCTGTAGGTCGAGGGGTCAGGAGAAAGAGTAGGAATTCTCATCTAAGGGCAGAGACACCCCAAAGAGTTTAAACCGGAACAAGGGAGTAGTTTTCCAAATGGTTAAGAAAAACTTTCAGACTACAGATTCAACCCTGTCTTGGGTCTAAGCCTCTCCAGAGTTGTTGTGCTCATTGGCAGGGGAGCTCTGTAAAGTTCTCAAATGTCATACTTACCAAAAGTGGCCAAGGAGGAGAACATCACCAGAGGGTTGCTTCTACTGCCTGCATCTGGGACTTAGTCCCTACCATCCCAGAGGACCACAGTTAGGAGGCTTTGCTGGGGTTTGTCTCAAAACACCATCCTGCCCTGCTTCTCACAGTTGGAGAACCACAGCACTTCCCAAAAGTGACCTCCAGGAAAATGTACTAAATGGATTTTCTTTAATATTTATTTGTTTGTTTATTTGCCCACTGAGTCCAATTAGTCCTACCTTCATGCACATGAATGTGGAGCCATTCACCCCAGCATGGGCAACTTACCAGCAGTCACTACCCCAAACAAACTACTTCCTCTCCCCCAGTAGTTATCAATTGCCGGTAGCTTCTGACTAGGGTTGCCTCGTGGGCCTCCTCCCATCCATACTTGAATGCACATTGGCTAGATCCTCTGCAGGATCTTGTACACGTAACCGCAGCTGCAGTGAGTTCATGGGTGCACTGCCTTGTAAAATCCAGAAGACGGCATTTCACAGCTCTCCTGCCTATCTTCTGGCTCTTACATTCTTTCTTTCCCCTCCTCTACAGTGTTCCCCAAACCCTGGGGATAGAGGAGGGGTATTTGATGTGATGTTCTCTTTAGCACAGAACACTCAATAGTTACTTAGTCTCAGCACTTTGAACAGTTATGAGTCTCTACATTGACTGCTGCACACTGCAAAATGAAGCATCTCTGATCAAGGATGACAGCAGTCTAGGTCTATGGGTCTAAACATAAACATTTAGAAGACAGTTTGACAACACGTCTATTTAGCAAAATAACAGTAGGGCCTATGACCCCTAACTCCCAGCCATGGGCTTTTGGCCAGGTTTATAGTACCAGGTATGAATTCCCTCCCATGGAGAAGGCCTCAAATCCAATCAGAAAGGGGTTGGTTATTCCTCTATAAGTCATGCAGCTATTGCACCAGTAGGTACCTCTTGCCTGTCAGGTCAGTATTGTAGCAAGTGAGGTCCACTGCTGAGTTAAGTTCATTTTTGAAGGTCTGATAAAATTCACCAGTGAGTCCATCTAGGCTTGGTCTTATTTTAGTTGGGAAATTCTGAATTACTTCTTCAATCTCATTACTTGTTATAGATCTGTTTGCATTGTTTAACTCACGGTTTAATTTTGGTAGGTCATATGTGTCTAAAAATTCACCTTTTTGTGATTTTCCAGTTTATTGGAATATATGTTTTTTAAGACATAATAATTTTCTGAATTCCATTGTTGTAACAGGTCACTTGTCATCTCTAATTTTATTAATTTGGGTCTTCTCTCTCTTCACTTCAGTTACTTTGGTTAAGGATTTATCAATCTGTTTATCCTTTCAAAGAACCAACTCTTTGTTCCATTGGTATTTGTGGTTTTGTTTATTTGTTTCGATTTCACGAATTTCTTCTCTGATCTTAATGATGTCTGTCTACCAATTGGGTTTGACCTCTTTTTTCCAAGGCCTTAAGGTGTATCAATGTTATTTATTTAAAATCTCTCTGATTTCTCAATGAGGGCACTTAGAGCTATAAACATCCCTCATAGGGCTGCTTCCATTTTTTGTTTTCATTTTCATTTGATTCCAGCAACTTTTGTTTCCCTCTTGATTTTTTCAATAATTCATTCATCATTCAATAATATGCTGTTTAATTAATGAGTTTGTGTATTCTAGTTTCTCTTGCTGTTGATCTGTAGTCTTATTCCATTGTAGTCAGAATACAAGGAGTTATTTCAACTCTCTTGTGTTTGTTAACACTTGCTTTTTGTCCTAATATATGATGTACTTTAAAGAAAGTTACAGGAGATACTGAGAAGAACATGTAATCTTCAGTGTTTAGATGGACTGTTCTATAGATGTCTGTAAAGTCCATTTGATTCATGAATGTCATGTAATTCCTGTATTTCTGATATTTTTTGTCAAGAATATCTGTTAGCTGATGAGGGTGAGGATTGAAGTCACCCACTACTGTTGTGCCAGGGTTAATCTGTAGCTTTACTGATAATAATATTTGTTTTATGAAATTCAGTACACCTGTGTTCCAGGTGCATATGTTTAGAATCATCCTCTTGATAGGTTGTTTCTTTAATAGTATGAAGTGACCTTTATCTTTTCTAACTAGTTTTGGTTTGAAGTCATTTTGTCAGGTACTAGAAGAGTGACACTTGCTTCCTAGATCCATTTGCTAAGAATATCTTTTTCCATCCTTTCACTCTAAGGTAGTGCACGTCTTTTGCAGTGAGGTGTATTCCTTAAAGGCAGCAAATAGATCCTGAATTTTGATCCAATCTATTAGTCTGTGTCTTTTGGTGAGGAGTTAAGACCATTAATATTCAGAGTTATTGTTGAAAGTTAGGTACTGGATCCTGTCATTTTATTGATTTTGTAGTGTATAGTTTTTATTTTTTCCTCTTGCTTAACTATTCCAGCATAGTTCATTCTTTCCTGTGACCTTGTAGATGGCTTAGTTTTTCTCTTCAGCACAAAGGATTCCTTCAAATATCTTCTGTAGAACTGGCTTAGTGGTCGTAAATTCCTTTAGTTTATTTTTATCATAGAAAGATTTTTCCTTTAATTATGACAGTAGCTTTGCTGGGTATAGTAGTCTGGTTTGACAGGTGTTGTGTTTCAGAATTTGAAATGTATCACTCCAAGCCCTTTGGCTTTTAAAGTTTCAGTGGCATGATCTAGTTTTAGTCTCATAGGCCTGCCTTTATATATGACGTAGTATTACTCTGTTGCCACTTTCAATATACTTTTCTGTATATTTAATGTTTTAATTATAATATTATGAGGGGAAGTTCTTCTCTGGTCTTGTCCTAAATGACTTGTATCTGGATTCGCATTTCTTTTCCAAACTCTGAGAAATTCTCTATTGTGAGTCTTTCTATGCCTTTTAAGAATTAGATTCTTCTCCTTCATACCCCTATCATCCATAAGTTTGGTCTTTTTGCAGTATCATATGTATCCTGGAATTCCTGCCGGTACCTTCTTATTATTTTTTCATTGTTCTTGTCTGATTGTTCCAATTCTTCCACCTTGTCTTCAAGCTCAGATGTTCTGTCCTCTTCTTGATCCATTCTGATGGTGAGACTTTCTATAGAGTTTTTTATTTGGCTTATATATGTTTTTAATTTCTGTAATTTCAAGTTGGTTTTTCTTCAGTATTTCTCTTTGTTGAATTCCTCTTTCGTGTCTTGCATCACCTTCCTCGTTTCAATTGGAGCTTATTCTTTTATTTCTTTGAACATGCTTATACTCATTCTTTTCAGTTCTCTGTCTGGGATTTCATCTAACTCACTGTCACCAAATGTTATTACTATAGAATTAGGACGTTTTGGAGGAGTGATATTGCCTTAGTTTTTCATGTTTCCTATGTTACTAAGTTGGGATTTACACATCAGGGGATTTTCAGTGGCTTGGGTTTTATCAGCTATACTCTTTCAGTTGAAATATTTGCCATGTTCAAGTGGGACTTGGATGTTGTAGAGTTGAGGTGCATAGTTCAGAAAATAGTTCCTCGGTCCTGGAGCTCAGGGTGTCTGGTGTAAGTTCTCTCTGATTCCCGGAGTGAATGTTAACTGTGAGAACAACCACAGAGGATGGTTATTACTACTGGGCAGATTTTGGGCTAGCCAATTAACAGTGGCCCTTTGACTTCAGTGACTGTAGGAGAATAAACAGCCAAGGGTAGCACAGAGCTCTCAGGGATTTTAGCCAATAAGGTTAGTATTAAGAGGGAAGCAGCATGGTGAGGATAGGGCTTAGTAGTAGAGATGAACTTTGAAAAGGAAAAGTCAAGATGGAGAAAGTAGTTTGGAGGGGAAAGCTGAGATGCTATTGGGGCCACAGATTGTCGAGAATGTTAAAGCTATGGAAGGTTGTAATTAAGAGGATAAAAAGGAGAGGATAAGGATGAGAGAAAGAGGATGAGATGTGAGGAATAAGAAGGGGACATAAGAGATATGGGTGTAGATAAAGGTATAGTAAAGAGTGCTTTGTAGCAGCTGGGGTGAGGAAACATATACAGCCGTTCTAAAGAATAAACAGCAATGTACAGACAAAACCCAAACCATCATGAGACACATGTGCATGGATGGAGATTAAATAACAGAAAATGAGAACTAAAAAGAACGTTTATAAAATGGATTGCTGGCACAGCTGTGCTGCATTGAAAGGCAAAGTGCTCAACACCCCTGACTCTAGCAGGTTCCATGTGGTGCCATGTGTAGAAGTGGAACCTCGAAGCCCCTAGTCTCTGTACCTTCAGTATTCTCTGCGGTGATAAAATGTGAAGAAAGGGAGGCCCTCCCCTTCCTGGTAGTTCAGCCCGACGCTCCATCATGGCCTCTTCTGATCATGTGGGCCTGGCGTGCTTCCCTGGCAGTTTCTATTGCTCTCCCATAAGCAGCTTTCTCAGCCTCCTGGTTTATCTTTTGACAAGAGCCAAGTTTTAATAAACCACACAAAATGCTCTGTCATGAAACTAGACAATGCATCTGACTTGGCTAACACAAGATCACTGGCTGCCAGAAACCAGTTTCAGTGATTTAGAAATATGACAGAAAAAAAAAAAAAATTCAAACAACCTGAATCAGGAGGGGAAGCCATGGAGATATAGGAAGGAAATTTTCTTTTGAGATTCTAGACAGTAATTGACTCTGATCACTTCACATCTTTGAAAGTAGAAGCCCACCAGGACAGAGGATGGGAGACTGGCAGGTACATTTGATGAAAGGGCTGAGCGTTTCCAAAGAAAAAGCTGAGTAGAAGCGTGTGGAGAAAAACCACCAGGACAGATGCAGGGGCTTTTGCAGTTTTTCAATAGCAAGTGTGAGGTTGGAATATGCTGAAAGATGAAGGAGATATGTAGCTACATGCAGGATAGCGGGGGATCCAGGGATACTGGGTGTTTGTTTACCCATGTAACACTGCAATAATGATGGCACCAAAGACTGAGGTTCCCATGACACAAATCATCACATGAACAATGGATGTACAAACAAGAAGTCCATTAGTCAGTGTTTTCTAGAATGCTCTTTGAGTTGCTGCCCTTTTCTTGTAGGAAAAAAAAAGAAAGTGCTCAAAAGAACACTGGCAGGCCTGAGCTCAGGGGCTCCTCTGTGTCGGAGGAAGAGTGCACTCCACGCTTGGAGACACCAGCCTCTGGACCGCCAGAGGTTGCTCAGCAGGACTGGGCTGAGCTGCTCCCTAGCGCTTGAGCCTAAGCGACATTGGAGCCTCTGCAATGCAGCAAGTGGGTTCAGCCACAGCCTTTGGAGCAGTGACCCTGAGCCCTTGGTATAAGACAAAAACTATAGGCAGTCACCATCTACGCTGTACAGGCAGTGAGCACCCGGGGAATAGGAACGTTTCCTACACAGGCTGTGATCCCTCCCTATGCGCGCCACTTTTTTTTACTCAAAGAAAAAAATACGCATTACTTTGTGAAAGGGATCACTTGGAAGGAGCCTCATTCTTTGTTAAGCACCAGCAAACCACAGGATGAGTGGTCCAAGGTCATTGCAGCTAAAAGAATGATACAGAGCAGCCTGTGCCTTAACCCAGGAGCCTTGGACATGCGGGGCAGCCTTTTCATCCTCCCCCTGTTGGCAAGCTCTCATAATTCCCACAGGAGGAGGTTGAGTCCATTAAGTCATGGGATCCATCAGGTGAGGGGAAACGGAAGACAACAGGTGAGGCCAGACACACACATTAGCGATTTCACAGGTTCACCAAGGACTAGTATCTTTCTTCCACTTTGCATATATGCCCTCTTTTCCCTTCTGCCCCAGCACACCATGCACACAGGCTACTCTGAACGTGTGCATACACAGCTGTGAATGTCGACACGAGGTATAGATGCTACTAAGGAAACTGTCCTTCCCCACAGGGAGCTAAAAGAAAACATATACCTGGAGAAGATGCACAGTGGAGCCTTCTGGGGGGCTACAGGGCCAAGCATCTTGTGAGTACAGTGGTGCTACCTCCCCTCCCCACGCGGGGCACCCCAACAGGCCTGTTTAGTTACCCAGCCACATCACTACCAGCCTGGCTTGCAGGCCACCAGCATCTGCAGCTGAAAAGGGAAAACCAAACATGTCAGGGCTGCTGTAATGTAATGAACATGATCTGTAACAGAGCCCACATTTCTATGGCTACAAGTCCAAAGTGGAGGGAGTAGTAGGACTGGTTCCTGTTGAAAACTATGAGGGCAGTTTCTGGTCAGCCTTTCTCTTCGTTGCTGAAGGTCCCTACTAGTTGTATAGCATAATTCTAATCTCCACATGTTGTGGTTATGTATGTCTGTGTGTGTGTGTGTGTGTGTGTGTGTGTGTGTGTGTGTGTGTTTGCATGCGCACAGGAGCACATCTGTTTGTGTAATCTCACCCTTTTATTAGAACATAAGTATAGTGAATTAGGGTTTACCATGTTGACCTCATTTTAACTTACCTCCATGAAGAGACTGTGTTCAAATAAGATATTCTGAGCTCCTACTGGAGAAAACTTCACACCTGTAAATTGGAGGGACCATGGTTCAAATTGTAATGCCAAACATGGGGCATAGCCTTGTGTGCTAGTGGTGGGAGGTGGTTAACCACCTTGAACCTACTCATAGAATCAGTCCAAGGCCAGAGATCTGGCTGGCCCCTGGCTCTTGGCTGGCCACAGCTGAGCTGCTGTAGGTCAGTTTCTTTCCTGCTGGGGCAAACAGTGAGCCATGCAAGGACTTGGGGGAAGATTAGGAGAAATAGGAAATTGAATAGGAAATCTCTTGCCAACATGTTGATGCCTGTGATGCCCTGTGGAGAAAGGCTGCAGCTCCAGTCAGGCTTCAGGGAGAAATGTGACAGGCTTCCAACCCCTCTGCTGCTCTGCATACACATGGAAACCATGTGGCACCACACAGAGGCTCATTTCTTCCTACAAGAACACACCATTATTCATCCAACAAACACTGACCAGATGTGAGCAGATCCGGCACCAAGGAACAGTGGTGACTGAAGAAACCGTGGTCCCTACCCTTAAAGAGATCACAGTGAAACAGTAAACAAGCATGTCATTTTGAAATGCAAAATGTATAGGAAGCAGGGTAACTTTGTTTATCCATTCATTTGTATAATAACTCTTCAATGAGTTTTTAAACCAGTGCCAGACTCTGGACTATGCATCAGGGACACAGAGAATAAGACAAAACAGACATCTCTGCCCTTGTAGAATGGGGGCAAGAGGCAGGGTCATGTATGTAAGTAAAATGTGCACCAGGCCAAAGGGAAATGGTTATGGGGAGGAAAAATTCAGGAAGTTGAAGGGAAAGGAGTCCTAGAGAAGGAAGTGACCATTTTACATAGGAGGACCAGAAACAGGTCATTTCACCTATGAAAGAAGTAAGAGGTCAAGTTCTGAGGAAGTCTGAAAAGAAAGCATTCCAGGGAAGGAACGGCAGAGCAAAGGCCCCAGGCACAGGATCTCGTGTGTATGAATAACAAGACAGCGAAAAATGGCAGACAAGGGCCTTTGGCCACTGTAGGGACCTTGCCTTTTCTTTGAGACAGGATAGCTTCGGGGTCTTGAACAGAGCAAGGATATCAAACTGTCCCAGGTGTGCTTTATGTCCTAGATCCTGCCGCTATTGGTTCATAACTCTGTTTGCTCTCCATCTCTTAGCACTGTACAACCCAAACTCCTGTCTGCCCAAGCTGCTGCCATGCTCCACTCCTGATGGGCTTCCTCCTGTCTCCTTCCTGCTGTGGGTTCTTAACTGTCCACTGCTTTTCTGCTGCTGTGAGCCCTGACCATCTAGTTCCTACGTCCCATTGCTCCCCAGTCCTGACTCTGTTTCTGAGCTCCATCCATGACTCGCTCTGTCCACTTCATAATTCCTGCCACCATCTGCCTCTGTCTCTGTCCACTTCCTAGAACCACCACTAAGCACCTGGTCTCTTCTCCTTCCTAACTCCATCCACTCCATCAATCCTAATACTGTACCTTATGACTTCTGTTTCCCATGGCTCCCAGTAGTCACTGCTTCCTGTCCACTGCTTTCTCTGTGGTCTCCCCAGCATCAGACTGTCCGACAAGGGGCCTTTTTTTATATGTGTCATAATCAAAGTCCACCAGACAGAACCTTACAGGTATACTGAATTCTCTCCAGCCTAGCAAACTGTAATGGCCCTGGACAGAGCTGCCCCATGCAAAAGATGACAGACTTTGCATGGTCATACAAGCCCTGCGTAACAGTCCTGAAGGGCTGCTGGGTCAGCTGCTGAGAAATGACTACCAGTGCCTAGGTATCATGCCCAGAACAGTGGAGCCAGACCTAGCTGTCTTCCTTCCCAAGCAGTGCTCTTGCTCCTCTCCCAGGATCAGAAGCATCTATTCTGGCCCCCAAATAAATCCATTATCAGAGAGGCACTCCCTTGTAATGAGGCTTTGTCACTTCTGAGATTCTCATTTTATTATAAATGTATTCTTTGTACAATAAAATACGATCATAGCTATCCCCTCCAACTCCTGTGATCCCCTCCAACATGTCCCCCTCCCAACTTTTTTATTTTCCTTTTCTTATTTTTTTAGTAGCCAACTAGGTCAAATAAGTGCTACCCATATCATAGGTGCATGGATGGGAGGCCCGCCACTTAGAACATGGGCAACCTACCAGTGGCCACATCCCAAGAGAAGAATGAGCATTGTCTCTCCTCTAGCAGTATCAGCTGCCAATCATGCCTCAGTTAAGAATGAGGTCTGGTGAGCTCCTCCCCCATCCATGCCTGCATTTTGGCTGGCTTGATCTTATGCAGGTCTTGTGTAGGTAACCACAGCTGCTGTGAGTTCATGAGTGCAGTGTCCTGTCATGTCCAGAAAGCATGTTTCACAGCATTCCTCCCACTCTTATGTTCTTTCCACCTCCTCTTCAATGTTTGCTTAGCCTTGGCAGGGGCAAGTTGATAAGGATGTCCCATATAGGGCTGAGCTCTCAGTCACTTGTTCTCAGCACTTTGACCAGTTATGAGTCTCTGCACTATAAAAAGAAGCTTCTCTAACCAAGGTTGAGAGCAGTCCAGGTCTGAGTACAAGCATAAATATTTAGAAAACAGTTTGATAATGTGACCATTTAACAAAATCACTCTAGTGCCTATAACTTCCCCAGCCCCGTGTGAGATCCACTTTGAAATGTTTTCACTCAAAAGAGAAAAAAGGGGGGAAAACCCCACCTTGTCTGGGAAGAATCTTGTATTTAATCACTAATAACCTAGCGATAGGCGCTCTCAACAAGATGAGGACATTGATTTCCTACCTCAACAAGCAGACAGAAGCAGGAAAAGCCTAGAGCCCCTGGGGCAGAGTCTCCTGTCCTTGGTGTTGTCCAGAAATCTATACTCTTCTCACTCACAATATTTCCCATCCATCTATCGATATTGATCCCTCCCATGTGCTGGGTCCTGGGGAGTAGGCTGCTGAGGGGCCTTGTGCTGCTGGGAAAAGTTGGGGGTACAGTAACTCCAGCCACTTAGAAGATGAGCTGAATTTGAAAACTCCCACCAACTTCTTCCTCCCGACACCATACATTTGGAGTTTCCTTAGGCTTTGCCTCAAGTCTAGGAAAACCAAGGAGCTAGGGCCTTGCTTAAAGAGCTAAGCCTTTTGCACACTTGCTTTAGCCTGGCAAAGTGTATGCGTGCTTGAGACAGATTCATCCAGCTGGCCATTAGAGAATGTGTTTTCTGCTTCCTGGGTAGATGATGGTTAATGCCACATTTGGCTCTTAATAGAATGACCAGCCTGCATTTCATGAAAACCTCCCCTGCAGAGATTGATCAATCAGAAACTGAGGCATCTGAAGCCTGAGTATTTCCCCCTGGGGCAGAGTACAAAAGCTGATGTCACCTCATGTACCTGCTGTCTCAGAAAGCTAGCAGTTATTTTATTTTTGTTAAGCGAAGAGAGAACAGGAAGGAGAGAAAAGAAAGAGAGGGAGGGAGCGAGGGAGCGAGGGAGCAAGGGAGGGAGGGAGGGAGACACAGAAAGGAATCAGGAGAGAACAGGTAGAAATTCTAGTGACCCTATGGCAGGTTCAAGGAGTCATTACTCAACCTTGAAAAGAATAACGGGGTGCCACTGAGAAGAACCCCAAGATGAGAAGAACTCCCAGAACAGCTATTTGGAATTCAGATCTTGATGAGAGTAACTAAAGCAGAGAGTCAAAGGCAAAGCAAAATGGAGAAAAGATTTCTCAGAACATAGGGGAGGACTGATGAGGGGAAGTTGCAGTCTCTGAATCAGATGTTTAAAATAAGTGAGTAAAAGGCCCTTCTCCCCTTAATGGCTCAGGGATATCTCCTCCACCAAACTGCAGGACCTGCCAGGCTACGGGCTGGAGTCCATTCAGACACTCATCGCCACGTCATCCTACTCTCTGAAAAAGCTGCCATCAAGAGAAAAATTCGCCAGTCTCCTGGATGCCACATTGACTTACCCCAGCCACTGCTGTGCTTTTAGGAACTGGCCAAAGAAAGAGTAAGTGAAAACCAAGAGAGACACCTGCCCAGCTGTGGCAGACCCAAATCCAGAACTAGCCATGTGGTCCACAGTGCCTTATCCTTTACCTGCTGCCTTCCCAGCCAACTCCACAGTCATGGGGCCCTTTCAGCTAGACAAAAAGAAAATGAACTGTCCCTGGTCCTCATAAAAACTGCTGCCAAATAGGTGACGTGCCCTGTAGCTTGGAGACCTCTGTACCAACTGAGGACTAAGTGAATTATAGCCTACTTTAGCAATTGCAAAAACTAGTGTCAAAAAGAACCAACCAATTATAATCCTTAGCAGACAGCATCATTTTTAAAGAAGTGGGAAGAAGTAAACTCAGAGGGTGAAATTTTCATAGTCTCTTAATCTTGAATTCAAAATGGACATAAAGCACTAAAGCATTTTTTAAAACTATTTGTCTCCCAGTGGAAAGCATCTTTCATTTCAGAGTGGAATCATAGTTCCCTAAGGATTTTCTTACTGTACAAGCAGGAAGGGCAGGATGCTGGCTCTTCTGTGTCCAGCCGAGGGCATCCAATGCTTCATTACACTCCAGACTGGGGGGGTGGGGGGGGCACCAGGACAAGATTTCATTCTTTCACAGCATTATTGTCTAGACTTTTCTGACTGAGATGCACAATAAGAAACATCATTTTTGCATTGTAACCCAGTCTATGTGTCACATATGTAGGTGAAAGCAATAGTTAACTGTTCAAATACATGATGCTGCCATCACAGATGCTTCCTGTTCTGTCGCACTCCTCTAAATCGCACTTACTTGTTTTTACTGCCAGCCTTGATATATGCTATTGTTTTCATAACCCACTAATGGGTCACAACTCACAGTGGGAGAAAGCAGTGCCCAGAAGAGTCATTACAGCAGCCTGCAGAGATAAGCTCAATCAGTTAATTAGATAAGGTACTGAGACAGTGACACCAGGCTGAGGCTGGCTTTGTTTGGAATCGACCTATTTGTAACTAATCAACCAGCCTGTATTATTTGTGCCTTGTGTAGGTAGACTTGATTCTACCTAAGGATTTGGGGCAGCTGAGAAGACAAAAACACTTGCGGTGTTAAAAGTTACACACCATTAACTGAGTTTCAAAGGAATATGAGTGCCTGGAATGTTCCAGTGTACCAGGTCCAAGGATGAAAAGATGAGAAGTCATTCCAGCCCTCACAGAGTGTATGCAACACTCCAGAGCACCAACAGCAGATGTTGTAAGAGACAGAGCCGAGAACAGAGCAGAATGTTCTGGGGCCACGGAGGGATGCCAAACAGGGTTCATGGGAGGCTTCCTCAGGAAGTTGACTTATGCCGAGCCCTGCAGAGCAGACAGGGAAAAGCAAGCCAAGAAGATGGAATGGCTCCTGTGAACACACAGACAAGAGATACTAGAGGATGAATATTCAGAAAATCTAGAACAAGAAAGATGTGGACATATGGAGGGAGATGAGTCAGAGGAGGAAGCCCAGAGAGAGGTGGGCCATGGTGAGCTGTGAGTGCCAGTCCAAGGTAGTTGGAGGATGAGAAGCCAGAAAGACTATAAAGTGAGACTATGTGAATTTGCTTCTATGAAATCTCAGCGGGGCAGTGGGAAGAAGGATGAGCTGAAGATGGTGACGCGCAGGAGAGAGGGACCAGAGCAACCGAGATGAGAGTTTAAGATAAAACTGGTTCTATACATCCAGCTACACCTTTGTGGCAAAGAGGTCACAGTCCCTCTGAAATTACTGCTATGTGAATCTTTAGTTCAAGACTTTTTAATTCCAGAAGATGAAAGTAGTCACCTTTGGGTACAAAAGAAAGAGGGATTATGGAATTATGGCAGTTTCTGAGCTCACAGATAATAGCATGACACAGAGATTGTCTGGATTAGACTTGGAAACTTCAGCTGACTCACAGGATCATTTGTGACCACAAGGCCTTGGAACCCAAAGCCTTGGAGGCCACTAAGGATGAAAAGCTGAATCTGTGGGGTGTTTGTGCAAACTGAGGCACCCTGTGGGTAATGCAGAGCTGCCTGGGCAGATGTTCTCAAGACATTCTTGGTATCTGTGATTAAAATTTCAAAAAAGACAGAATGGTTATCACCCAGTATTTGAAGGCCAAGTTCCTGGTAACTGTAGGTTTGTCTACATACAGTATCTCTGTCAGATACGGAGCAAGAACAAGCATCATATGAATGCACACACACACACACACACACACACACACACACACACACACACAATTTGATCCGAGTATAAAGATTCATGATAATAACCTAGAAAAACAAGCCGGCTAATTTTTGAAAGTCTGTTTGGTCAAAGGATTCGGCCATATTCCCTGTCTTTCCACATTTGTACGAACTCATTCCTACAAGGAATTGTTTGCTTTGTATGCATAAAAAACTGTCCAGTTTGGGCTGCCTCATCTCTCCGTCCTCCTCAGTGAAGGTCACCACAGCTCTCCCTTCCCCTCATTCCTCATTCTTTTCTGCCCCTCCCTTGGGATTTTGATCCTGTGTCAATATTCCTTTATATTCCTTCTTCATTTTATCACTCCCCTTTCCAGACACCAAACTTCTCAGAGGAAAATACAAAGAAGTGGGAAATACATACACCTGTTTTTCCACAAAAGGCCTAAAATGCATATTGTAAAGTCGTATCCAGCCCTTCAGAATCCTCACAGAAAGACTTCACTTACAATGTAAAGCCATGAACTCCAAATAGTTAGTCAAGGCCAATAAGAAAGAGAGTTTGTCAGGAACAAACTTGAATATACCACAAAGGGTAGCTTTTAATAAGCATTGAAAAATCTATGATTCAGTACAACAAATTTACATTTTTTCATCTCCAAAGCCCACACAAAACACTTAGCATTCAGAAGCATTTTCTCTAAGCTGGAGGCACACTGACAACAATGCAGAAGGCTTTACTCTCTCCCCAGGAAGCGGTTCAGTCAGGACAATGGTGCAGAACACAGGCAGGTGTAATAGGTAAAGAATGTGGATAAGTAAGGCATCAATAGACATGATCAAGTTGAAGGATCACAATCTCAATGGCTTGTTTTATTTTTTCTACCTCTTCTCTTTCAGAAAGAATTTTTCATTTTCCATTTTTAAAAACTTTTCCAAACAATGTGAAAACACAGTAAGAAAACCAAGTAATGAAACGCTGTAAGTATTCACACATGGACTCAGAAGCCCAGGTTTCTTCTGTGGGCACCTTTGTTATCAGCACCAACAATTTTCTTTTGATAGACGTCTTAGTTAGAGGATGTTTGCAAGGTATTTTTCTGTAGTTTCAAAGTGGAAAATTTTTTCTTTGTAAGTGGCAGCTAGTTGTACAGGTATCTTGGGTGATAGAAAAATAATAAAATGAATCAAAGTCTCTTTTAAGACTATAGCTAAGTTGTTACTATATGCATTAATGTGTATAAAATTGCAGTTTTAGTTTGAGGGATTTGAGTGACAGCTTCATATGAAATAATTGTCACTAGCTATACGGTCAGCATTTCACAAAGATAATCTGATGGCTGGCATAGCTTCAACAGGTAGCCACTTCCTGTCAAAAAATACTTGGCCCATCTTGACCTGACTATGCTCCTGAGCTTATTTATTAATCTGTCTTGTGTGTGCACATTCTTCTATGTGCAAATGCCTGTGTGTGGAGTGGGGAGGGAGTGGGATAGAAGTCACCTTGGATGACTCCTCGAGAACCATGTACCTTGTTTTTGAAGACAAAGTCTTCCACTGGGACCTAGAGCTCCCCAGTTCAACTAGGCTGACTGGCCAGTGGGTGTCAATAATCTCCCATCTCCATCTCCCCAGTGCTTAGATTACAAGTGCACACCACCATGCTGGGTGGTGGGACTCAAACTCGGGTCCTCATGCATACATAGCAAGCATTTTACCAACAAAGCCATCTCTCCAGTCCCTTAGCATTAATCTTAATACCATCGCTACTGTATTCTGGATGGAAGCTCCATTTCTATTCTACTGACTGAGTTTTAACATTTCTCCCACTTTAAATGCTGACTGCCCTGGCATTTCACTTACCTTCAATAGTAAAAGAGCATGCCTCAAAAGACAATCCCTGTGTCCCTAAGCCACATTTACTGAGGTTAGGATTTTATTATTCTTCCTACGTGTCCTAAAGGACTACAAAACGTGATGTCCTTCTAAGATACTTACCAAATCCCTTTTATTTTCTCCCATCAATCTCATAATGATATCGAGTTAGGGGGGTAATGGAAGGACTTTGGACCTTGGAGTACCCCAAAGTTGCATATGACCCTTAGCAGAGATGTTTCTGCAACACAGAATTTGGCACATACCTTTTTTGAGGGCAGGAGTTCTGGACAATACTTATGCTTACGCCTACAGGAGGCTCTTTCCTCCCTGCTGGGAGCAGCAGAAGTGAGATGCGGCTTTTAGAAGCAGAAGAGTGAAGGAAGTTGTTAGAGAGCAACAGCACCTATGATGGGTATTACCCTATCTCCTTTTCCATGTCTTTCCATCAAGTCTGCCACTACCTGCCTTCCCACCTCCCCCTTTGTGTCTGTCATCCTCTTCCACATGTCTCCTTTGCAACCGTGTGGTTTTATATTCATCAACAGGAAATCATTTCTAAGTACGGTCAATTGTGACACCCAGGGGTAGTTGGGGGAGGAGAGTTGTTACCCACCCTTAGCAATCCTCATCAGCCCTGCCCCACTCTTTCCAAATGAGCATCAACTCTGAGTTTACTGTGCTAATGCTGCTTTAAGATGAGTCCCTAAAGTCTAGCTAGCATCCTTCAAAATACCTGAAATCAATACATAGCTGTTAATTGCATCCTGCAAAAAATTTTGTTTTGGGGTTTTTTTTGGAAACAGGGTCTCATGTGGCCTAGGTTGGCCTCAGACTCATTATGTAGCCAAGAATGACCATGAACCTCTGATCCTCCTAAATGATATGATTACAGGCATGCACTACCATATCCACTTTATTTGGTGCTGGGACTTGAACCCAGGGCCCTGTGCAGGCTAGGTAAGCACTCTACCAACTGAGCTGCATCCCCAGCCCCTAACAAGTTTTTGACAAATTTCAAGCTCCCAATTCCCACCAGAAAGTCATTCTAAAGCCAGCCACTGAACCTTACCTGTCCTTCCCTAAAAAACTTGGTGTTCTCACCACTGTGGCTAACCCCATTACCTCCTAAAATCCCTGTATTTCTTCTTTCTCTCTCAGTTGTCACTGGAGCAGTCTGCTGCTTCTGCTTCCTCTAACCCAATATTCTTAAGCCCCTGAGTCAATCCACACCCCCTAGCAGAGCCACCAGTCCTGAAGATGACCCATGCTTGCTATGCTTGTCTTTGTCAGGCATGATGCTGCCATTAGGGACTATACTAGAACACAAATGCAAGCAGAAGCAGGTAGGTATTAGGTTGCAAACAAACCACCAGTGAGAAAGCCAGCCAAACAGATGCCTGGCAAGACAAAGAAATGAAAGAGCAGCTGGGTGTGGTGGTGCACAACTTTAATTCCAACACTCAGGAGGCTGAGGCAAGTAGACCTCTGTGAGATGGAGGCCAGCCTCATCTACGTAGTGAGTTCCAGACCAGCTGAAGCTACAGGGAGACGCTGTCGAAAGAAAGAAAGAAAGAAAGAAAGAAAGAAAGAAAGAAAGAAAGAAAGAAAGAAAGAAAGAAAGAAAGAAAGAGAGAAAGAAAGAAAGAAGAGAGGGAGGGAGGGGGGAGAGAGAGAAGGAGGGAGGGAGGAAGGAAGGAAGGGGAGAAAGAGGGGAAAGAAGGGGGAAGGAGTGGGAGAGGGAGGGAGAAAGAGAGAGAGAATGAAAGAAAGGATGGAAGGAAGGGAGGGAGGGGGAGAGAGAAAGAAAGAAAGAAAGAAAGAAAGAAAGAAAGAAAGAAAGAAAGAAAGAAAGAAAGAAAGAAAGAAAGAAAGAAAAGAAAAGAAAGAAAGCTAGCTAATGAGGTGGCTCAGCAGTTAAAAGCACTGGCAAAGGACCCAGATTTGGTTCCCAGCACCCATGTGGTGGCCAAAAACTGTCTGTAACTCCAATTCCAGAGGATCTTCTGACCTCTGCAGGCATTGCATAACATGGGTGCACCTACATACATGCAGGCAATACACTCATACACATAAAATTAAAAAATAAAGTATTTTTTTAAAAAAGAAAGAGCAAAGGAACAAGGAGGGCAGGAGAGGGAGCGTGTGGGACCTCCTATTTAAATTTGTCCGGAAATCATCGCACACTTTTTAGAAGCTTTAAATTAGTGCTTCTAACAGCTGAGATGATTTGCTAAGGGGGAAAGAATAAAACAAATCAAGATAACAATAGTTGGAATATTTTTACCCAGGTTTTGGCTATCGTTTTGATGAGGCATCAATAACACCTGCTTCAGATGCATGTTCCTGGGCTCCATGCCTAGAGGTTTTGATTCAGAGCTTGGGGTGTAGCCGGGAATCTGGATTTTTAACAAGCAACCTGGTGATTTGGATAGAAATTGATTCAAAGACCACACTTGGGCATGGAGAGATGGCTCAGTGGTTAAGAGCACTGGCTGCTCTTGCAGAGGACCCAGGTTCAATTTCCAGTACCCACAGGGCAGCTAACAATCATCCGGTTCCAGGGGAATCTGTCGCCCTCTTCTGACCTCCATGGGCACTGCATGACATGAGTGCACTTATATACATGCAGGCAATACACTCATATAAATTTGTTTAAGATAATAAGATATTCTAAAGAGAAAACAGCAGAGGAGAGATATCTGGACTATGGATGTGACGAACACATGCTAACACTGTCCTCCAAGGGACCTTGGTCTGTCACTTTTTTTAATCTTGATTACCCTGCTAATAAAATGAAGAATTCATCAGATGATCTATATGCACAAATACTAATAATCTATTTTAATAGTCATTTGTAACAATCCACTTTGAAAACCAAAAATATTTATATTGATGTTTGTGATATGAAAACCAATAAATGTGCTGCTTCTAAAGATATTTAAATAATAAAATAGATGAAGTCCCTATGCAGTCTTCTGGGTGTAGCAATAGCCCTCAACAAATCCAAATCAGTCTCTAATATTTTAACATCTTTTTAAAAATATTTTTAATTTATTTTTATGTGTATGAGTGTTTTACCTACATGTACGCAAGTGCACCCATGTCATATAGTACCAGTGGAGGCCAGAAGAGGGCATCAGATCCCTTGGAACTGGAGTTACAAATGGTTGTTAGCTGCTACGTGGGTGCTGGGAATCAAACCTGGGTCCTCTGCAAGAGCAATCAGTGCTCTTAACCACAGAGTCTCCAGTCCCATTAACATATTTTTTAAAGTAATTTATTGAGAATTTCATACATGCTTCTAAGGTGTTTTGATCAAATCCATGCCCTACTCAAACATTCCTGCCTCTGAAGAGGTATCCCTAAAATCTTTTCAGGATTAAATACAAGCTCCCAAACACTTTTGGCCTTTGGAACAGAGTATGTTGATAAGAGGCCCAAGGACATTTTGACTTTTAGCCAAGAAACTGGCTACTTTTCTTTGGGGTCTTTTTACCCTAACTGCCTAGCCAATTCCTATCTCCTATTCTTATCACATCATCCTCTGAAGAGGTTACCCAGCTTGCCAGATAGAGAATCGAGACACAGACCACTCTAGCTTCTTCCATGATGAACAGGGACACAGGGTGAGGCAATTAGGGTACCCCTTCAGTGGGTCTATCTAAAAGGCTCAAATTGCCTAACTCTTATCTGTAGGGGGAAAAGAAAGTCCTTGACTGTTGAATAGGAGAGGTGAAGAAGTAAAGGCAAGAGTAATTAGCATTACAAGTTCTAGATAGGGAACTAGAAAAAAAATCAGAACAGGGCAAATTTAAAATGCTCATATGAGAGTCCATTGAAATTTCTTTATGAGAGCTTCCAAAAGCATCCCTCTATTGGGTTCCTCCTCATTTTTCTTTTGTCTTCCAAGGCTGGACTCGAGAATGGTGGATTCAGGATTTGCTTACAGGCATTTTGATAGCTGTTGGAGTGGTTAGAATTAGTATTAGTTCCCTGTCAAAGGCTTCTAGAAAATAATTGTCTAAATAACTTTTTATATGAACTTAAGCCTACTGTCTGGGAAATGTAATCCCTTGAACTCTTAAAGAAATATACTGATTAGACTTTACTCTTTGGTTATACTTTCCTTTTGGGTGTTTAAGACCATACAGTTGGCCCAAATAAATCAATTTATTTTTACACTTAAGGTCATTTGAGGATCTGTTCCTCAAGGGTCACATGGGAGCCCCTGGCTTTCTTGTACCAGTTCCATCTATGTGAAGATAAGCCAAAGGTCCTGCTCAACTGTGGCTGGCTTCACTTGAAAGCATGGAGGAAATGATGTTTCCTCCTCTTTGTAGACTGGACACTGGTTCAAGTACATCTCATGGGGTCTCCATGTCCTCCCTGACCAAGAGGACAGGTGACTCATATTTTTAATCTATGTTTTCCCTTCTGTACTGTATTCCTCAAATATATTATCTCATCAAATCTGTGAACTAGCTACATACTTCCTAATATAGAACATGAAATGTTTTAGAGTAGAGAAACTTGAAAGAACTCTAAGGTGGAATAGGTATTTGCAATGGCCTTGAAAGAAAATGACGCCCAATTCTCCAGCTCCCAAGATTCTCAAAGCTCATCAAAAGAAGTATGAATTTTACCACATAGACCATGAGGATGTGGAGGAGGATTGGGTTGGATAAGTAGAATGAAGGGATTTCTGTTTGGGAAAGGCCATCCCCGGAGGAAGATACAGGCTAGAATGGCAGGGAGGGCTAACACTGATAAAGGATGTCAAGAAGAAAACCAATGTGATTATCCCACAAGAGAGAATGCAAATGTGAATGTGGCAGTGGGGTGGGGTTCCTTCACTGGGAACAGTCTTCACTCATACCCCTCAAACTGCTTCCATCCTTTCTTCCTGTTGTGCATGACTATTTTTCTGCTACGCCTAGGTTTCTAGTAATCTGCCAGTGGTTTCTAGTTCCCATTTGGAGTGCTGGATTCGCCCGGGACTTTAACATAAACACGTCCCCACTCACTGATGATTCTTAACACTCAAGCCTTCCAATCCCACTGTGTGCTGCTACAAACAGCTTGGTTGGCAACTAAATGAGATAAATAGCTAAGAAAATGCCAAGAAAGGATTTTTCTGGGTTAGCAAGTATATATTGTGTCTCTAAATTTGTTTTCCAAAGAAAATCGTCCCCTGTAAACAGCTTTATTAAGTCTTTGCATCAGTGTGTTAAATAGATACATGTTACAGAATCTAGATTGCTTTTCACTGCCTTCTGAAAGAACTCCGTCAAGACAGATAACTAACAAATAAATGTAAGGCGGAGGCTGTCAAGGCTTTGTTTTCTTTTTTTTCTTCAGCTCTAAAAGCCACTTATGGATGACTCTTGAATTTTTTTAATACTCAGAATGGTAGAAAGCCTTCTTGTTTCTCTCAAGCCACCATTCCCTTACAGCTATTCCACCATCTTTGCCGAGAGTGATCTGAAAGACTGGGATTATGATTATGGCTTCTGCTCACCCGCGACACTCCGATGTGCTCCGGAACCAGACGCCTTTAACCCTTGTGAAGATATTATGGGCTACGACTTCCTCAGAGTCCTGATTTGGCTGATTAATATCCTAGCCATCGTGGGCAACTTGACGGTCCTCTTTGTGCTCCTGACAAGTCGATACAAGCTGACGGTGTCCCGCTTTCTCATGTGCAATCTCTCATTTGCAGACTTTTGCATGGGGGTTTATCTGCTGCTCATTGCTTCAGTCGATTCCCAGACAAAAGGCCAGTACTACAACCACGCGATAGACTGGCAGACAGGGAGTGGGTGTAGCGCCGCGGGCTTTTTCACTGTATTTGCCAGCGAACTGTCTGTCTACACCCTGACGGTCATCACTCTAGAAAGGTGGTACACCATCACCTATGCTGTTCAGCTGGACCAAAAGCTGCGACGGAGACACGCCATTCCAATCATGCTCGGAGGGTGGCTCTTCTCTGCTCTCATTGCCGTGCTGCCCCTTGTGGGTGTCAGCAGTTACATGAAGGTCAGCATCTGCCTCCCCATGGAGGTGGAGTCCACCCTCTCTCAAGTCTACGTCCTAACCATCCTGATTCTCAATGTGGTGGCCTTCATCATCATTTGTGCTTGCTACATTAAAATTTACTTTGCGGTTCAAAACCCAGAGCTGGTGGCCACCAACAAAGATACAAAGATCGCTAAGAAAATGGCAATTCTCATCTTCACAGACTTCACTTGCATGGCACCCATCTCCTTTTTTGCCATCTCAGCTGCCTTCAAAGTGCCTCTTATCACGGTCACCAACTCTAAAGTTTTACTGGTCCTCTTCTATCCTGTGAATTCTTGTGCTAATCCATTTCTGTATGCAATCTTCACAAAGGCATTCCGCAGAGACTTCTTTCTGTTGCTGAGCAAATTTGGCTGCTGTAAACGTCAGGCTGAACTTTACAGAAGGAAGACATTTCTCGTTTATACCTCCAACTACAAAAATGGCTTCCCAGGATCAAATAAGCCTCAGTCTGCCCTGAAGTTGTCCACAGTGCACTGTCAGCGTCCAGCTGTCCTAGACAAGACTTGCCACCATGAATGTTAGCTGCATTATTGAACTATACTTATATCTGTAAAAAAATAAAAAATCTACCTTAATCAGTAACTTTAATATAAAGGGCTAATTTTAGGAAAGTATTTATTCTTAGGCAATCTGAGAAAGAGAAAACTGGGTAATTCCAGTTCAAAGGATGGTGCGACTACTGCCAGTCCTCCATTGGAACACAATGACAGAAAATTCAGAAGTGCTTAGAAGTTTCTATAACAATTTAGATAGATATTTTGTTTGTTGAAACTAATATTAAGAAAAACTGAAGTGGCATTTTGCATCTCTCTGGTCTTTTTCAGTTTTGTAATTTTTGTTGCAATCACCAAAAATATGAGTTCATAACAGATTGGAAATTTAAAGTGGTCTTTGCCCTCAGTTTGAAGATACACTAGGAGATGCACTGTGCAGTCTGCTAGCCACTAGACATGGGTAGCCAAATAAGGCTGAAGAGAGTGATTTCTTAGCCACATTCCAAGTGCTCCACATGTCTGACTAGTGTTGCCTGCAGTGGGCAGCACAGACACAAACTGCTTTCATCAGTGCAGAGTCCTACTGAACAGCACTGTTCTAGAGACGTTGTTTAGTTAAATTGTCACCTAAAGGCACAGTTCCGCTTATTTGTTTGGCTTGCAGTTCATAAAGTCCTCATGGGTAGGAACCCACCTCTGCCCATTTTGTTTACCCATGCCTTACCGCAGAATCTTAGCAATAACACAGAACAAATGTGCTGAGTTGAACTTATGAAATCTATAAGGAAAAATATTTCTAGAGCCTTACATTTTTAAGTGAAATAAAATAAATATTTAAAATAACATTATTTCTGTCCTTTGCAGTTCATGGAAAAATATGCCCAGTATTTGCTAAAATGTATTTTTACTTATTAGAATTAATTCATGAGGGGTAAACAAAGTATGGTTCTGATTGCACTGTTTTCGTTTACTCCTTTGATTTTTTTAAAGTAATTTTTATCATAAGTTCATTACATACCAAACATCTTGATAACTGTGTTAAACCATGATGCAGACACTTACTGATCTTATACAAGATGAAAACCTTTTACATTTTCTGAAAGCATAGAAAACTAGTAAAAGATTCAACAGGAGTCAGTCTCAAAGCTCTCCATCAAGATCCCAACCTCTTAATGATTATGCTTTGCTGACTTCTGTATTGGTTACTCATGGTTTTCCAAAAGTCACTTTGGTTTGAAATACACCAAAGAAAAATAAATGAGTGATACATTGATGGATGATCAGAAAAACTGATAATTTCATAAATAGATACTGTTATCTGTTTATATACAAAGTTCCTTAAATTTCCTCCAGAATTTGATAATGAACATTTTCAAATGTATAGAAATGTTCAAAACTGTATAGTGAACACCCACACACTGTTTACATCCAACAACATTTTACCATGTAGGGTCCCAGGCATACCTATGTAATTCTCAATCCACTATTTATCCATCAATGTAGCTAAAGTTTGATACTTTTAAAGTAATTGGAAGACATACGTAGTCCTTAGCCTTATGCAAGAGAGTACAAAGTGTATGGTCCTATTTATATGAACTTTAGCCTTGTTATTCACAAAAGCTCAATATTTGTTTACATTTTGGTTATATTTCCATGAAGAGAAATGGACAAATCGTTAAATGTTCCACTTGAGTTTTGAGAAATGCATCGTTAATGTGACCCAACACTATATCAAGACATAGAACATTATTACCATTAGAAAGCTCCTCATCCCTCTCACAGAGGTAATGACAGTTGTGACTTTTTTCTCCATAGATAAGTTTTGCCTGTTCTAGATTATATAAAAGGTATCATGAGCTACATACTCTCAGAGTGCAAGGTTCCTTTGACTCAATATGAAGTTTTTACTAATCATCCATTTAACTGTTTGAATCAGTTCATTCCTTCACATTGATGATTAATATTCTACTGTATCAATATTAAATTTTCTATTCTCCTGTTGATGAACATCTTAGTTATGTCCAGCTTTTAACTCCCTTTGAGCATTTCATTAAATATATGGCTAGATATAGCTAGACTCTATCCATCTAGTGTGCTTTCCATTCTTAGGCCACCATGCAAAATGATTCAAAAGAAGATTGTAAACTTTGTGAAATCTCTCCTCTGTAACATGGTTTTCACATTCCTGATTTCTCTGCTCCGTATCAAGCAGCTCTATACAGATGCAGTCCTCTGTGACACCATCATTCCAGAAGGTAAGAGCAAAGGAAGAGAATACCAGCTCATCCTGTGCTGCAGAACACATTGATAGTCTTTCATAAATCCCAGACCCAAAACAACTTAGTAAGAGAGCAGAGGGAAGACAAGGAGAAAGTGCAAATCTATCCTAGTAGAGAAGCTGTTAGACGAGCACACACTCAAATAGTGTCAGCCTAACTCATGACCTCTTAGACAAATAACTTTCTACAGTTTAACAGATGAAGTCAGAGTCAGAATCTCCCTCACTCTCACTTCCAGATCTTTCTGCACATAAGACTTTGTTTGAATTGCCTTCCAACCCAATTCTTTATTTTGTATTCCTTCTGCCACAGGTAGATCTTCAGACAGTCTCCCATTTCTCCGGAACTTCTGTCAAAGCGCCTTAATTCTCATTCCCATCCAGTCTTTCCCATGCCCTCACTGTCATACACCACTGATTAATCTTCCTAAACTCCTATTTCATCTTATTACATGCCTGCACAGAATTCCTGAGCAATTCATCAGCACCTATAAATTTAAGTTACAGCTCCTAGGCAAACACTCAGAACTGTTAAAAGCTGTCCTCAGATCTACTTTTCTTCTTCTGATGCTTCCTTCATGAAGCAAACTGATGCAGTTACGGTCTCTAGCCAGGCCTCGCCATCTCCATGCTGGAGGCCACACCATTGTCACATCGGTCCTCTTTTCTACCTTCTGTGAGATCTAACTACAGGTCTACCTACTTCATCAAACGTTCCTTAATCTGCCCTTCCCTAATGCACCAGTCACCTCTACATGAAATAAAGAACATGATGCGCACATGATCCGCAGTAGTCTCTCTCGCGACATTGGCACTCACCTGTATCACTCATTTTCCTTTGCCCCTATACCGCGCATTACTAATTATCTACACGCCCATCCTTATTTCACCTTATTTCATGGCAGGAATCTCTTTAGTGATAGACTAGTTTCTTTTACTTCATTTCTCCTGCTGTATCTTTTCTAAAGCCTTGCACCAGGGGTTTTTGTTGATTTGGTTTGGTTGTTGTGGTGCTGGGGATCCAATGCCAGGACTCATGCAGGCATTCTACCCCTAAGTCTCATCCCCATTTTTCACCCTTGCTCATTTTCATAACTAAAATATAAAGCTTCCACCATTAAGAAGTTCATGTATGAAATATTTAGAATGTACATAATATAATTCTATATAATCCCTCAGACCTAAATCATAAATGTCATATGTTCAATGAATTTCTATTTCTTATATTTTTTCATCATGTTTGATATTGTTACTAGTGGGCTACAAAATGGCTTTAAAAAATTAATCAATCTGGAATGAATCATCTAAACTTACAAAACAACTTTAAAAGACATTGGTATTTTGTTTTCTGCTTCCTCCATCTGATGTAAAGAGCTTGGCTTTAGTTTTCTTAAGAACACATTAAGTTCTACACAAAAATTAAAAATCTCACAAAGCATTTCAGTAAATATTTGTATGAGCAATAATCTTTTCTGGGCTGGGGAGATGGCTCAGTTGATAAAGTGCTCACTGAACAAGCATGAAGACCTGCGTTCGGATCCCCAGCACCCACGTAAAAACTCAAGCACAGAAGTGTGCATACATAACCCTAGTACAGAGGAGGAGAAGTGGGTGGAGATAGGTAGATTTGAGGAGCTCATTACTCAGTCAGCCTAGCTAAATTAGTGACCTCCAGGTTCAATAAGACACCTTGACTCAAAAACTAAGGTGGAGAAGGGCTGAAGAGATGGCTCAGCAGTTAAGAGCTGTTGCTGCTCTTGCAGAGGTCCAAAGTCAAGCTCCCAGCAGCCACATAAGGCAGCTCACAACCACCTGCAATTCCAGTTCCAGGAGATCCAGTGCCCTCTTCTGGCCTCCATGGGCAGCAGGCACATAGTTGGTGCATATATATAATATATGCACATTAAATAAAAACAAATCTTTAGAAATAGAGTGATCAAGGAAAACAACTAATTTGACCTCTGGCCTCCACACTCAAGTACAAACATGCATGCACACCCAAACATACATGCACATGCATACATGGAAATACAAACACATTCATATACCACACACATATATATGCACAAAAATAATCTTTTCTTCAAAACGGGTGATACAGTAGTTCCTCCTATTCTATAGTTTCAATTACTGACACTCAGTCTAAAAGTATTACATGGAAAATTCCATAAATAAACAACACATTTTTGATTGAGCACTTTTCTGCATAGTACAGTGAGCTCTCAGGCCATCACACTCAATCCCACAAGGATTGAATCATGCCTTTGGTTCAGCATATCTACCCTGTACATGCTCCATCCCTCTTAGTGATTTAGCAGCCATCTTGGTTATCAGTGTTGTCACAATACCACATATGTTCGTATAACCTTTGTTTTACTTAATGATGGGCCCAAAGTACAACAGTGGTACGAAGTCTCGAAGTGTGCTGGCATAGAATTAAGGTACCCAATACCCTCACAAATTTCTAACACAGCACACTATAGCCTCACAAAACACACTTTCTCCATCTATAAAAGGTATGTCACGACATTTGCCAAGGTATTACTTGGCTTAGAAATTTCATGATCGTATTTTGCTACAAAATGCAAGAAGTGTTTGGCTTGGACATGATGAAGCAGTTCCTAAAAGTAAAAGCAATAAGATGCATAGCCAAGTCTCAGGCCAACTCCCTTGACTTAGAGGGCTTAATGAGTAACTGTCTCTTTGAAAATGGATGAGGATTTGACTTACGGTGCCTTTAACACAGAATATCAAATATCTCTCTCATGTGTGGAAGTTTAAAAACAAAACCTTAGCCAGGTGAGGTGGCGCATACCTGTAGTTCCAGCACTGGGAGGGAGAGGCAGGCGGATCTCTGTGAGTTCAAGGCCAGCCTGGTCTACATAGTGAGTTCCAGGACAGCTGGGGTTACAGGGAGACCCTGCTTCAAAAAGACAAAAAAAAAAAACCTTGACCTGAATGCAGCGTAGCGACAACTAGAGGTTGGGAAGGGCAGCAGGGGAAGGTGAATAAAGGAGGCTGGACGGGATCAACTCATGATGTACATCTATGGAACTATCCCACCAAACATTATTAACATTATTAACATTATTAACATTATTAATTCATGTTAATCAAAAATAAGGTTAAAAAGAAAAATAATGAACTTGCTAAGAACTAGAAAATAAACTCTAAAAATATCATGTTCACATTAAATGTTATGGATGTCAGCATGTTAAAAAATCATTAACTGTGAGTACATGAACTCAATTTGGTGAAGCCAAACTATCTAGGTTTTCTAAATTAAACCACAGAATCAAACAGGTGATGTAGATGGCCACTGTGCCAAAGAAAGCACTTTTCTGAATTTTTCATTGCATTGTGTTAGGTGTATTTAGTGAGCATTCAAATAGAAACTTTGCTGTTGAAGTGTATTCTGTACTGTGGAACCTGGCCAAAAAAAATGGAAAATCACTGACTTGGACAACTCCACAAAAACTAGGAATTTTAAAGCAGCATTATCTGAAACTAGTAAATGGGTACAAGATCCAAAACAATTTGAACTCTTAGTTCTCTCTGTGGTCACCACCAAAACTACCATCAATTACATTAGTGCAAAAGAGAATATTGTGCTTTGTTTCATAGCTTACTTTTAAATTGGGTTTTTTGTTGTTGTTTTGTTGTTGTTGTTGTTTGTCTTTTTGAGACAGGGACTCCCTATAGCACCAGCTTGCCTGGAACTGAGCCTTGAGCTCACAGAGATCCTCCTGCCTCTGCCTCCTGAGTGCTGGGACTAAAGATGTGCACCACCACACCCAGCTTTTTTTTTTTTTGCATTTTTAAAAGATGAGGGTACAGGAGCTGGAGATGGCTCAGAGGTTAACCCAGGTTTGGTTCCCAGCATTCACATGGTGGCTAACAACCATCCATAACTCTAGATTCAAGGGATCAGATGCCCTCTTCTGACCTCCACAGGCATTGCACACATGTGGTGCACTTACATACATGCAGACAAAATAATTATATACATAAAATAAAAATAGATAAATCAAAATGTTTAAAACAGATAAGGATACAAGGGCATGTAGAGGCTACCATGAGTTTTCCCTAATAACTAAATTGACACTTCATCATGCTCTGACACACTCAATGCAAATATGCATTATAATGATACATAAAATAAAGAGGACCCCTACTAAAGTGGAAAACAAAATAAGCATAAAATCGTGTCTGCATTTGAACTACAATTTTATTTAATTCCATGTAGTGAACAAAACAAATTGAGGAGCTCTGTGATGGACTATATATAAAATAAAGATACAGGTCACGCTACGAAACATACAGAGTCCCAGTGAGGTTCACAAAACTCATGTGCAGAGTTCATAAGGTTTACCACTCGGCCTCACCAATGGCTTTTGCAAACACATAGTCTCTCCCTCCAAAACACATAACACCATCTTTCAAATAGAATTTCCATCTGTTCTTGCTTCGATGAATCTGGAGAGAAAAAAATAATCTAAATTAATTAAGCTTATAAGCTAAAGAATCACTTATATTCTTTAAAACAGCAAATGAAATAATGGAATTGTGGCCTTAAATATATGTTCTCTTAAAGTAAGACCTCTTCAAGATAGTTTATTCATTCTTTAGCAAATATTTGAGTTCTCACAGGCCAAATACTACTTTAGGTACTGGAGATACATCAGGTAATCCATATATACAAGAACCATCCCACAGTATCGGAATACCAATGAGGGACTGGTTACATAGGCCATGGCTTTATATTTGCGTACAGCCTATTCACATCTTTCCGTAGGGCTGAAATCATCTCTTGGCTAGTTATAAATCCTGATGCAATGTGAATTCTTCTCAAGAGCAGTAATTACTGTACTGTTTAGGAAATAATAACCAAAACAGTCTATACATGCTCAGTAAACATGTAATTTTTACAAATATTTTTAAACCACAGTTGGTTGAACTTGTAGAGGAAATTGTAGGTATAGAAGGCTGACTGCAGACTTTCATGTATTATATATGTAAAAAATATCAACGGAGTTGGAGACTAATCCTAATAAACTATGTAGAATATTAAAAGGTGATGGAAGGTTGGGAATACAGAGATGGGATTAGAATGTTTTAAAGGATAATCATGCTTGGCTTGATTTTTAGGGTGACTTGAAGGTGGTAAAAGGGGTAACACCAGGCAAATGTGGGTTTGAACATTCCAGTCAAGGGAAGAGAAGTGACAGGAACTGAGAAGGAGCATTCCGTGCTGCTGAAGGACAGAGAGTCCAGCATGGCTGCCGAAAACAAACAAGAAGGGCATGGCTAGGGTGCTCAGAGTGCGGAAGCTGTGCTTGCTGAAGGGGAAAGTCACAGTAAAGGGCTAAGCAGAGCTGGTCAGATGCAGCTCAGGAACTAGGGTGCTCAGAGTGCGGAAGCTGTGCTTGCTGAAGGGGAAAGTCACAGTAAAGGGCTAAGCAGAGCTGGTCAGATGCAGCTCAGGAACTTGCTAGATCCTGTAGCTGGCTGTTTCTCAGATTCAACAAATCAGCCGAGATTCAGACAAAATAACAAACAAGGAACCCTGCTACTGCAAGAGGTCAGAAACCACCACATCAGTGTTACCTCTGGGTAAACCGCAATGACTATTTAAAAGCAGTAGAAATACATGATCTGAGATCAAGGGCCATCTAGACCTAGCTGTTGACCACAATAGTCAAATACAGGAAGAGAGCTGGGACTGGGATTCGGGTGTTGTTCTCTGAAGCATAACAAAGGATAAACCCCCTACTTGTGTGCTTTCAAAAGTTCTAATAAGGTAATTTTTCTGATCTTGACCCCTGAATTTTCACCTGCACATGACTTACATGTTGAATACAACAGAATCCTGAACTCAGCATGAGTGAAAACATATGACCAGAATGAAAATCTCCAGTGGCGATAAGAAACCATGGGCAGAATTAAGAGGAGAACAGCAACAGCATCCACTGTGGCAGCTTTGTCAAGTGACTATGTGTAAAATCTAGCAATAAGTCAATATTAGTTATTAATAATGGAGCTGGAATTGACCTGGAAGCCTCCTCCCTGATGACCAGCTCTCATAGTTCTAGAAGATGCTATACAAGCTGCTAATCAATCAGTGGTTCAGCCCAACTGTAAAGCCTAATAGCCACAACATCTGGCAGAGCGAACTATCTCTATTGGCGCAGTAGTGGCACTTTTATCTAGGGAGTAATCAACAGCTATCGAATCAGATTTAAAGCCCTCTCAATGGGAGGGAATTCATGGGTGATGCTGTAAATATAGCCTAATACATATGGCTGAAAAGATAAAAAATTTCAGAGAAAGACCCTATCTCTGTCATATCTCTAGACAAATGAAATGTCTTACTGTATGCTAAATATGAATCCTTATATTTACAGATAAGTATACTGTGTACCACTCATCAAATAAGCTTCCTTTTGCAAAAGATGGAAGCTACTACAGAGTCCCACAACTGGTCACACACAGAGAATCTATGTCTGAGAGAGGCCCAGCCCTAAGTGACATATTTACAGTGGCACCTCTACATGTAAGGCTCATGGAACATAGCAGAACAAGTGGTAGAGAGAAAACTAATACAACCCTCAAAATTCCTGATACAGCAGAATGTGATGCACACAGAAGGCAACAGCTGGTTAAGTTTTAGAGAATAAGAGACTGTAGAGTCCATATCCCTGGATAGCACTCCTGTACTAAACTTCACCCACCTACAGCTCAGGGATCATTATGGAAGAGGGAGCAGAAAGATCGTAAGAGCCAGGGTTGGTTCATGAACATAAGGAAACAGAGGTTTCAGACCTTTAGGAATTTGCTCATGAACTTGTAACAATGGTGACAGCATGCACAAGACCCATGGTGACTCAGACAAAAACCCAACATAGAACGGGGGAAATGGGCAGCAGGACCCAACTGAGTCAAAGGACAATTGGCAAATAACTACTTCAGGGTGAGGCAAATAATTAACTGTGGGGTGAGGGAGAGTAATCTTCAAGGGAGTGACTCTAGATGGCTTACTAGACTCCAGTGGATGAACTTGCTCTGAGGGACAACTGGATACAAATGCTGGACAGATAGGACTTAACATACATGACAGAATACCTGAAATCTGGTGGGGAGGCATAAAGGGGTGGGGATAGTGGAGGGCATCTAAATTTGATTAAGGTATCACATATGAATTGTACAAAAACTTAATAAAAAATTTCAAATATTAGTTATTAATATAAAAAGCATATGACTTGATCTAAGAAGACATATATGATCACTTCCAGTGATGTTTAAAGAAAATTTGATTAAACTCACCTTTTTTTCAGAACATT